AAGGAGCCTCACACGATGCATCCGATTAGGATACCCGCTGGACACATCCCTGTGGAGGTATTTCACACTGCTGGGAGGAGACCCAGAGTGGGTTGGGTGGATTACACGTCCTATGAAGTGTTGGAGTGTCATGAAATCCAAGAGGAGCTGAATGATCTGAGCTGGATGTTTAGGCGTCTTGACCTGAGCTATGGCCACCGTGACCTGGAGCAGGATGAGAAGATGGATGATTTGATCAGTCCTGGATAAATGCAGCTCATCAAACCCATCAGCTATTTGATCCTGACAATCGTCGTTTTCCTCCTGCGTTTGGTTAAATTTTCAGAGCCAGCAGACAGACAGTTGCTCTCTCCCTGATTCACACATGCACACACACTCACACTGACACTGATAATTACTGATTTATGATGCATGTCTTCTCTGGTAGTCTGATAATGCATAGAGGCCATGCAAGACCTGTTGCAAATAAGTGTTGTGCATTAATTTTCATTATTTAACAGGGAAAGTGGTTAACGTCAGTGTAAGTCACAAGCAGTTCTAATCAGAGGGGCTGGGTCCATTTAAATTCGCACTGCTTACCATTTCTGGTCAGGCCTAAATAACGATGACAAATGATAGGATGTAGCTCGACGTTGTAAACATCTAACATGCAACAAGTCTTTGCTGGGAAAACCTTGTAGTGCACAGGAAGTGGAAAACAGCTGTTTACTTAAATGTCATAGAAAATAAACAGGATGCGCATAAGCAACAGTAGATAAAGTACAAATTGGCGAGTAGCTGCTGAAACATGAACCTCCTCAGCAAAAAAATGAAATAAAATCGAGAGTCGGTGATAATCTCTGTGAGGAGCAGCATGAAAATTGCATTATAACAATAACTTGTATCTGTGCAATGTAATAGAATTTAAAAATGTGAGCAATCTAATGAACATAAAACATTAGGCTTTATAACAGGAAAAAACTTGAAAGAAGGGAGGAAGTTACTGTTCTAAATGTTCTATTTGTCCCAAACGTAAAAGCTAAAAATAGACTCACTTTATAGAGTTTAAGCTACATGATGCTAAACTTTTAGGGATTCATTCTCCAGTCAGCCAGTGCATACAGAACACGATAGCTACATGCTAATTCAAGGCAGCCGACATAAAGTTTAGCTGCATTTATGGGTAATCTAAGGACATAAGAAAATTGGCACAAAAGCCACATTAGAATATTACCTCTTTAAAGTTTAAAAATGATCCAAACTTATTTTAAAATGTTCCAGTGTTTGCCAAAAGGATAGTTTTTAACTCAGCCAGAAATTAAATTAGCTTTTCAAATAATAACGCTTTCAGATTTTGTTATCCAATTATCTGCTGGGTAGATCCCACTTTAAATGTTGCCTTTTTCTCAATACAAAACTCTTGTACTTGTAAATCTTGGCTGCTTTTATATTCTAAGGGTATTTTGCAGGAAAACAACAACACTGAGCCCTACTTAATGTTTGTTTTGTTGAAATTCCTTTATGTAGCTCTGAGGCTACAGTTTGTGGTACTGGACGGCCTTATAAATAGTACACACAATGCGCTGCAAAAGTATGTTAACAGCAGAGTGAAAATAATAGCGTCGAATCTGAGATCAAAACACGGCACCGAGTCAGAAGTAGTAACTGTCTGTAGCTTGTATTTCATGCTATTTATGTGCACATGGCATGTCTATATATTTATATATATTCTATTTATGTGCATTACGTCAGTGCTGTGATGTAATGCTGCTGTTAACATACTTTTTGAGGGCACTGCATTGTATTTATGCTGCGTTACATCATCATCTGGTACAACACAACCAACTATTGCTCCAGCCTCAAATTACCAATTACTACCCTCTGACAGAGACTTAACACGCAGGTTTGATGTGCTAAATAAATGACAGTATTGGTGATTTGCTCTTATAGGGTTAATTTCAGTGATCAGTGGAGGCGTGGTAGATTTTATGTCATGTTTGTTTGGTCCTCGTTGTTCTCGCACAGCGTGTGCTGTTTTATTACATGTGGGCTGTGGCTCTGTGGAGAAGTGCGCCTTCTTGTGGCCACTGGCTGCACCTTCACAAAAATTGCCGTAGTGGTAGGCGATCCACTTCCTGTTTAAAGTGACATGAGAAACAGGCAGTTATTGATCGGGCTCAGTCTAATCAAAGGGGTGGTCCCTTTCTCTGTAGCGTCTAATAGCATGAGGAAGCATAACAGGCTAGTGCAAGCATAATTTGCTGTTTAGAAGAGCAAATCAAACGTTGTCTGTTGCTGTATTCATTATTATATTTAATGTTTTGTACATGGGTGCCTTTTGTGGATAGGAACAGGTGACCTTAAAGTAGGCCGGGGCAATAAAATAGTGATAAGATAGCAAAATGTACTGAAGCTCAGTCACTAGCAATAAAAAATATAGTTTAACAGAATGTTTTCATTGTTTCACTTAAAGGCCTCAAATCGTCATGAAAACGTGTAACAAAAATCATCTCTACCTTACAAGTGACACACTCCTGACGGCTACGCCGAGGGCTTGACGTCAAGATAATTTTATTTTTTATTGAAATTTAAGTGCGAAAAAATATTTCTGTATGTTTCTCCTAGTTGTGTTAAGATTAAAATTATCAGCTTAATGAAAATGATAAAAAATGGTTAAATTCTAAGAAGCCCGAAGTGGTTAAACTAAAACCTTTTTCCCATATTCTTTATATAAAAAAAATAGGTCATTAAAGCTAATCAATAATTCTTGATATTGACTGAAAATAAACACATTATTGTGATAACTTTTTCAGCTTTGTCTCCGAGCCCACCTTCACTGATGCTGTCTTATTGGTAATTTATTTGAATATTATTATTTGTTTTTATTAATAGTGATCGAATGGGAACGTGGTATCACAATTGTCAGTTTTATCGCCCGGCCTTAGCTTAATGCTTGAGAGATATTTCCAGGTTCGGGAGAGGCAACAGCAGTAGCCTGTATAGAGTGACAGGGTCTGACCAGATATTTAACTTTGTGTTGTTGTTCGTTTGCCTAGAGCAGTGGTCGGTTGCTGACGTTTACTGGCACGTCTCAGTGATACAAACACTGATCTTGTCTGGTTTTCTGCTGGAACTTTCCAGGGTTCAAGATTATGAAATACAGTTACCACTCTCTTGTACACAGTCAGCACAGAGGCGCCAGGCTGCCTTTTAAAATCACAAATGCTTTTGTAAACATCAGCAGGACATTGTGGCGATTGTGGTTGGCTAATGTTGGATGTGGATATTTTTGTCACATGTCTGTTTTAAGTTATGTGGGTAACTTATTTATTTGCGTGTTTATCAGTTCGAGCTACTTCCCGTGATAAATAGGCACAAGTGGTTAAATTCAAATTATCAACTGCCTTAAAGTATGACGCATATTTTCTGGTTGAGGAGAAACAGCAGCAGCAGTGGACTGTATAGAGTGACTGGGTCGGACCAGATGTTTATCTTTGTGTTCTTGTTAGTTTGCTTAGTGCAGTGGTTGGTTGCTGATTTTTACTGACACTGATCTTGCCCGGTTTTCCGTTGGAGCTTTCGAGAATTCAAGATTACGAAATACTGTTAGTACTTTGGTACGCACTTAGCACAGCGGTGCCAGCTTGCCTTTTAGCCATCTTGCTAACGTTGTGTTTTGTCGCATCTCTGTTCTTATTTATGTGAGTAGTTTATTTAGTTGTGTGTGTTTTCCAGTTTAAGTTTGTTCCTGTATACCACAATCAATAGACAAAACTGGTTAAATTATTATTATTGTTGTTAATAATAATAGTAGTAGTAATAATAATAATGACTGGTGTAGACTGAAATCAAATATTTTATTGTGATACATTTTTTAGCAAAACCCTATCCAAAGCCATGCTGTGTTCTTATCCTTATATATTTTTATTTCTTTGTGGTGCTTTTTTGTTACTTCCTGTTTACCATTCTCAACAGGCAGCAGTGGTTAAATTCTAATTAGACTTTTTTACATCTGGTCTTTATTTATTTTTTAAAAAAGGAAAAAATATTAGTTATAGGGTAAAATAAACATTTTATTGTGATTACATTTTTCCGCTGTATCGCTCAGCCTTATATTAAGTGGTGCTGCCTTGCTATCCTTATTTATGTTTACTTCATGTCGCTAATTTATTTATTTGTTTATTTTCTAGTATAACCTACTTCCTGTTTACCATAATAAATGGGCAAAAGTGGTTTAATTAAACCCATGTACCTCTGGTCTTTATCAAAAATAGGTCTTTAATTATTATCATTATCAGTATTTAGCATGTTCAATATTTATTGGTTCTCTAGTTATTAAGTGGCTTGTTTGTTTATTTGTTTGTGCTTTTGGTTTAAGTTACTTCCTGTTTACTATAATAAACAGGCAAAGTGGTTAAATTCCAATTAAACCTATTTACTTCTGTTCTTTATCAAAAATAGGTCGTTAAACATCAGCACATATCCTTGTTTATGTGGATAATTAATTTGTTGGCGTGTGCTTTTTATTTCTAGTTACTTCCTGTATACCATAACAAACAGGCCAAAGTGGTTCAATTCCAGTCAAACCTTTTTACTTCCAGTCATTATCACAAAAAGGGGCAACTAATAATATCAATAATTATCGATATTGATTCAAATAAATACATTTAATCGTGATGAATTCCCCACTTTAATCCCCAGCCCTTCCTTTAAACATGATCTTATGTTTTGTGGTTGAGGAGACGCCAGAGCAATAATAATAATCAGAATTCCAGTTTAACCAGTGGCTCCATTTACAGCAGCCCGGTGAATAACAAGTGCTAAAGTGACATTGCGCTATCTTTTGGAAGACAATGCCCTCCTGTGGTATCTTCTTTTGAGCTTTTATGTCGTTTCTTATCTGCCCTTTACTCTAGTGGTGAGTATGAGAAATGTCTCCCGCCTACCAGCAGGCAGCACACACACGCGCGCACATACACACGCGCGCGCGCGCACACACACAGCACTTCTATGTTTGTCAGACTCAAATCCGAGGGAGAGGAGCTAGCCGCCATTTTCTAAGCGTCTCTCCCTAAAACGAGAGAAAAAGCCTCGCGTCAAACTGCCATCCGGATTACCTCTCGCTTACTGGGAATCGGAGTTTCTGCCGCAGGATTGCCGTGAAATCGCCTACGTTTGAACTAATTCGGGGTAGAAAGGACTGTTTCACGGCCTTGTCTTATATTCGCTGTAGCGGCGAGGCGAGCTAGCCGCCGAGCAAGGTGTAGATCGTTGATTCGCCCATTGCTGAATCCGGAACGAAGCCGAGCGGCGCCGCGAACCGGGCCCCTTTCCGCACCCTTGGCTGCAATTTTTCTTCCCCCTCCTCCGGACTAATTAATGGCAGAGTGATCGAGTCGAAGCTCGCTTTTTTTTTTTTTTTTTTCTTTTTTTTTTCCTTTTGGTGCCAGCACCCGTTGGTTTTTTTCCACTAAAACTGCAGGGGATTGTTGCCGAAATTCCCTCGGATAGTGCAACCTCGTCACGTGGTAGGTTCCTCCTTTTTCTTTGTTAGCGAGCTAGCTAGACTGGCAGGGTCTACTCCCAACTTCTCAGCTTTTGACATATCTGCATTAACGCTACGTACCGTTTGATCACCCACCAGCTTGCGAGGAAGCCCACGGAGGGCCGCCGTGGATTTAAAACGGGGCTGCCTGTATTTATTTCCTAATTACAATGCATACCATGTCTCCGCTCTGCAATAGGTCGTAAAGCGTTGTTTAAAATAAGTTGTGATCATAACGAGTGAGTGTGCCTCCTTATTGTAAGCATATGTGCACTGTAGCAGCCCCTTGGTTTCGCTGTGATGCGATTGCACCCTCCTTTCTTGTTTATACAGAACGTTTAATGCCTAATACTTTGGGCGTTATTGACTTTAAACTGCCACTGTGCTGTGCGTAGGTTGCGTAGTCACTGACTTAAAATGTTTACTTGCCTAACGAGGTTTGCGTAAAGAAGCAGAAACTCGCCTCTTTTCAATTTTGTTCTCTGCAAAACAGAAAACAAAAACGAAAGCAACCCAAAAAAAAATATCAGATAATGTGGGGAAGGGGCAGGTAGCGTTTCCACTGCAGCTGGCTTATTGGGAGCCTGCACGCTAGCTTTGCGAGCAGGTTGTGTTTCTTGCATCAGCAGCTTTTCCTGAGCTAACGTTAGCCAGAAGCGAAGCGCATTAATTTGCACGCAGTGTATAGAGTGACACAGTCCGAGCAGATATTTATCTTCTTGTTAGTTTGCTCGGAGAGGTGGTCGGATTTTTTCTTTATATTTATATATTTCCCCCCCTTCTTTCTGTTTCTGGCACGTCTCGGTGATACAAACACTGATCTTGTATCCTGTATTTTTCCGCTCAAGCTTCTGAGAATTCAAGATTATGAAATAACGTTATTACTCGGCCATCACAGAGGCGCCAGGCTGCCTTTTAAATTTACAAATGCCTTTTGTAAACATCAGGAAGACATTTTGGTGATTACGTTATGGTTGGCTAACGTTGGATGTGGACATTTTTTTTGTCGCATCTCTAGCCAGACAGTTTACAGACATACTGCTCTTCTAATGCATGTAAATTACAGTCGTGTGTCCGCCAAGGCTGGGTATTTAATTTACCCCCGTGTGGCATGAACTCGTTTGGTGTGTTTGGAGCGGAATGGGCGGTTTTAGGTAGATGAATTGCATTGCATAATCTGCTTCGGAAATACCAACATGGCGTAGTGCGCGCTGACTAGAAACTGCGGTGAAATACTGAGCCCCCATTCATCTCACCCTGCAGACGATACACGGAGATGCAGCTCGCTTTTATCTCCTGTATCATTTGAAGGGAGGCTTTTTTGAAACTTTCATATGGATACACAGCCAGTGGGCATGAAAGACGCGTTATAACCATGACAGCAAGACCTCACCTTAATAACGTTATCGGTGCTCCTCTTTACATGTTTGATGTGAGGATCATTTTCTGGCAGAGTTAATTGGATAGCTTTTATTGTTTCAGCTGAAAATGACACAGGAACCCAGGCAGGATGACATCATGTGCTTTGGGCTAATGCTGGGGCCTTAAATCCACCTACTTACACCGCCTGTGAGGAACCCTGCTGCATACAGACTTGCCAGGGCACATGTAGGGCAGTGGGGTTTGGGCAATTTGCATTGGCCTTTCCTGTTTCTTTCCCTCATCAGAAAACGAGTTCCAGAGCTTATTCTTTAAAGAGCAGCCTTGTAAGTAAACGACAATGAAGGCTTGTTCACACAAGCATGGGTGTAGTGGGAATTATTTATTGGCCTGGGATTTAGCTCAGATGTCTGCTGTTATTCCATCTGTATTGTGAGCATCCCACTCCCCAAGGTCAGTGCATATCATTAATTTCTCTGTATTTATTGGAAGTGGGGCTCTATGGGCAGATGCCTTATTGGTAATTACAGTGGAATCAAATGACATTTCTGGAAATTTGTGGGAACCAAGAGAATGGCCAGAAAGATTAAGAGTACATGTGACCATCTCGGATATAATTCAGATTCACCTTTTTTCTCTTTGTTTCTTTTAAGGATCATTTTTGTCTGCGCTTGCTGCCAGTAGGTCAACAAAATGTCAATGAGTCACCGGTACATTTGATTAGGCCTTTAACTCGGTTTGCTATAGTCATTTACTTTGACTTTTGTATTGAGTCAGTGTGTTGCACTTAGGATATTGAGCACCAGTATTACTGCATTTGCATTGAATATATACAATGGCAAATATTTAAGAAATGATGGCTTCTTTTTAGCTGGTGGTTAGTAATTTTCCACTCACTCCCAAGCCTTACAGAACCTGTAGTACAAGTATTTCAGTTGTATGGTTTGTTGCATATGGGTACAGCCTGTGATCATATCGTCTTCCATTCATCAAAAAATGTATTCAATATGAAGAAATAGGGGAAAGAATTGCATTTTTTTGATGTCAAAGCATGCTTTTCTGCCTACTTGGTCTAAAAGAATTGTCAGTACCATTGAGACTGAACTGTTGTGTTTTATTTATAGTTTTCCTTAACAGATGTTCCCATTGTTCACTTACTTGATTTGTCTCGAAATAATCATGAGTGCAAGAATACAAATTACACTTTGGTAGCTGGAGCTGCTGGTTTCAGTATTAAATCAATATTTTAACGTGTTAAAGGTGGCATCTGTTTGTTTATTTTATGTGGTGACATCCATCCTTGTACAAGGCTGTGAATGTTACCTGTGAGCAGGTGATGGGAAAATATCTCCACCCAACCCCCTACACAGCAACTGAAAACAGAATTTGTTGTACGTTTTTTTTTTTTTTTTAAATGTATGCTTGAGTGCTTAACTTTATTGGACTACTTTGTTTAACTTTATTTCTTGTCTCCCCCTCCTTTATTTTCCCCTGTGTTGTCTCCAGGCTGTCCTCAGGTGGGGCAGTAAGCGGGTGGTGTGGAGCAGGCCGCGGTGCCCGTCCCTCTGCACTGCATGGCTGCGATGGCGCCCGCTCTCACCGACGCCCCAGCCGAAGCTCACCACATCCGCTTCAAACTGGCTGCCCCATCCTCAAGTCTCTCACCAGCCAGTGCAGAGAACAACGGTAACGCCAGCAACATCCTCATCCATAGCAGCGGCCCTGCTAAGTGCAAGGCCACCTCCGAAGAGTGCCCTCTTGACTTCTGCGGCGGCGACCAGGAACAGCAGCAGCAGCAGCCCCAAGCCGACTCCGTGTCCCAGGCTTCGGCCCTGGGCAAACTCCAGCCACTGGTGGCTTCTTATCTATGCTCTGATGTGACACCTGTTCCTTCTACTAAGGAGTCAATCAAGCTGCAAGGAGTCCTCATCAAACAGTCTGTGTTGAAAAGCCACAGAATACTGCCCAGCTCCCTGCTCAACGGCGGAGGAGACTTCCTCTTGAGGAAGAGGCAGGCGATTGAACTCTCTGGCGGCCAGCTCAAAAGCCTCATGAGTGGCAGCACCAACGGAAGTGGCCAGCCCATGGCACCTGTCAACGGCCTGGCCAAGAAGCTGGCCACTATGTCTGGCTCTGGCTGTGTGGTCGCAGTGAATGGTGACAAGCCTTCTGCCGCCACTGACTCTCAGTCCCAGAACCTACCCTTGGACTCTGAGACCTTGACAGCGACCTTATCAGGGCATATCTCGGTGAAAGGAACCCTTAAACAGAAGCATTCCTCTGGGGTTTCTCAAAATACAGATGGAAAAAACCTCGAACCACCAGTGCTCCAGTCTGTTGCACTTTCCCCCTTTACCCACGACAACCCTAACCCCACCGAACAAGTGAGTTTGGACGAGGCTGATTCACACACGCCTACTAGTCAGCCACAGGGTTCTGATAGGGAGAGACCAGGTAGCAGCCAGCAGGGCTCCCCGCCCTGCACACCTGCACCACAGCCTCCTCTACCCTGTAGTTCTTCCTCGGACAGCCTTGATGCTCACGTTAGAGAGCGCACCCTCCTCAACAGCAGCCGCCAAGCTGAGATCGAAAACCGGCTACGGCGCCTGCGCAAACGTCTTCAGGTGGTACAGGCTAAGCAGGTGGAGCGGCACATCCAGCAACAGCTGGGTGGCTTCTTGGACTCGGCTCTCAGCAGGCTACTAGCAAGTAACCGCAAATCAGAGGCGGCGACCCCAACAGCTACTTGGAGGACTGGACGTCACTCATCGTCAAACAACAGAGATGGCCTGAGTCGCTTCCTGAAAAGCGGCTCCATGCCCTTGGAACTGGAGAGGTTGTATTTGAGTGGATCGGCCAACCTTCATTCTGCAGAAAGCGCCTTTGACTCAGATGTAACAGAAAGTAGCTCTGGAGGGGACTCTGACCTGGAGGAGGAGGAGCTGTCCAGAGTGGACATTGAGCAGCGACATGTCAAAATGTAAGTAAGAGTGTCCTCACCCACTGAGAGAAGCCCTTTTTTTGGGCTGGATTATGAATTGTGAAGGTTCACGTGGAATGTTGACAGGAGCATCTACGTGAAAAATGGTTTCATTGTTAACTGTTGCAGTTGGATTCATTAAAAGTTGACTGTATTGTTCTGCTAAAATAGTACCGTGGTCCAGTAACTGGCATTACTTTCACATTTCATGGTGCTTAGAGCTGCTCAACTGCCCAGTGAAAGTCCCTGTATTTTCCAGGCTCTGCAATATGCTACTCGGGCATAGCAGGTGCTAATGACAATTATAACTGGCTGCTCTGCCTCAGTAGTGGTTGGGTCAAACTCCAGGGAGGGGTGGCAATACAGTTCGCCCAGAGAGCATGTGTAGTTGTGTGGGTGGTATCCTGTGGAGAACGCACAGGCTCGAATGGACTGAAAAGTAAAAAGCTCTCGTCATACAGTGCTTCCTCCTGAGAGAACCAAGGCTGAAACTGAACGTTCTGTTTATCTGCAGAGCGAAACAGTGAGCGCCCACAGAGCCAGTCGCTGTTTTGATTTCAACTGAAACCTAGAAGGAACATAGAGTTGGGGGGCCGGTGGTGGTTTTTGCAAAAGGTGTGGGTTTTATGTTTGTACATGCTGCCTGTTGTGATGTCAGGTTTTCCTCAGCAGGGGCTTGCAAATGTATTCCATGGGAAGTTCACATCAGAGTACACATTTCTGTGTCATTAGTGTTGGGAAGGGGGAAAAAAAGTGCAGCAGGTGGTTCAGCAGCGTTAATGGACTTACTGACCTGTTTAGGATTGGGTAGATTATTAACAAAGTCGCTAAGAACACAGATTTTTATTGTCCTTTCCTGTGTTGACTTTAGACCTTTGACCTAAATATCTTCATAACCTAACAGGAAGCGTGTGTGTGTTGCGTTCATGACCCAGGAGGACAAAAAAACCTGTTTGTAGCATACAAAGGAAGTATTAGAACAATTCATGTGCACACTCAGATCTTGTCATTTTCCAGCAAAATGCGTAATGTTGTGGAGATTGTTGGAGAGGGCGAGATATTGATTAAACCATAAATATGATCGTGTAAACACAGCCAGCAAATAATTGTTTTCAGTCAGAGAATTCCCACTTTGTGTATTCTTTTATTGCTAAACCAAATTTCTACAGTGTTCTCAGATTTTAAATCTTTAATTTGCACCCTTTGCAAGTACATAGCAAAAGATAAAGGCCAAAACTTGTATGATTTTTTAGTGATTTTGTATTCAGACTTTAACAATCACAAGTAATATTATAGGTAATTATGGTGAACGTTCCAATAAGACACATGGACGTAAAGAAATGTAAATCTGACAGCTGGGCAGTAGATATGAAGTATATGGAAAGGTTGTGTTCAGTGTTATTTTCCAAGATTTTACTGCTTTATTTATTGTTTAACTATAACCTTTCACATAATGAAATTAAGGCCAGCCAGATATTCAAGTAGCATGACCATATTTAAATGTAGGCATGGTAAAAGCATGCACTTGACGTTTGCTGTTAACGGTGTGCAAAATTAATCAAAGATTGATTTAATAATTATATCCACATCAATCACAATCGAGATCAAAACAGTATGTTTTTTGATATGTAATTCACGTGTTTTTGCCTCCTGTCTCATTACAAGAACTTCAATATTGAATATGTTGAGTCTGATTTCGTACTTTTTATTCTGAAATCAGTTGATTAATCGTGCCATTAAAATTGAGCAACGTTTTTACATGAAACCTGGATCCCCACGCTTTATAGTTGTTATAACAATTAATTTAATTTAATTATCTGCTAGGAATGAAAGTAAAAGATGTATCTAGAGGGGTTTGTGAAATGGAAGTTAGAGTTGCTTTCCACAGTTATTAATTTGTTCAATTCTTCGGGCTGTTTTTAATTAGACGTATTCATTTGTAATAGTAGATGAGGTTTGTCAGGAGGTCAGAGACTATATTAGAGTCATAGCGACAGAAATGGAAAATTTCAGTTGTGTGTATTTAAGATACAACATAGTTGCATTTCCTAAATATAAGTGCAAGAATAAGGAATTTAAGGATAAAATCTGCATTAATTATGGTTCATCCAGTTGTTCATGAGTTAGTAGAATGATTTATAGTTAAGGGTTGGATTTAACCTTTATCACAGCACTACTTCAGCACATATAGTGGTGTTGTGCATTATTAAGTAGGATTTTTCTTTTCTTTTTTTTTTACACACAAAGTAATTGTGTTTCTATGCTTTAATCAAAAGAAGTGGCTCGACTTTGCACATTTTCAGGGAGCACCTGAAAGACATTAGGTTAGTATTTAGATCAACAGTAGGGTTTGGGCAGCTGCTTCAGTACAATGTTAATGACTCATACCTAGCTCATTACAGGCATCACAGACTTCTTTCTCTAAACGGGACCCATCATCCTCAAATAAATAACCAGGCAAAATTCCTAGCAGCTCATCTTTTCCTCGTCTGCTTCAGTCTGATCTGCAGTTAATCTTCTGCTATAGCAAACATGATACATCTTGTTCCTGCTTTACCATCAAAGCTTTTCAGCAGCCAGCCATTATGAGGGCTTTATTGTGAAGCAGCAACAGCTTCTTGCAACCTTAGTCACTGCTAACAAGTGGCAACTCCTCATTGTGTTTAAAATAGGTCTCCGTAAATACACGCACATTTTCCACAGCTTTTTCTTTTTTTTTAAAACTTATTTAAAGGCTGTTAAATACCTTATTTCAACCTGTTTGGCAGTAAGCGTGATCGACCTGTGTACAGTAAAAGCAAACAGACTATACTAGCTCAGAGGACAGAAACCAATGCAATTTCCTGTGTTTTCTAAACAAAAATTACTTTCATGCTTGACTAAATCCAATTAACAGAACTAGTTGAAAATTAGATATGTAGCTTTATTCTCAGTGATTATCATTGTGGTACAGGTGATTCAACTAGAAAGGAAAACCGCGCTTGTTTCTGTACAATATTTACCTAAATTTTCCTTTCCTTGTGCAAAAAACACTGATTAATGAGTAGCTGCAGATGCTGACCCACATAAAAGCCTGCTGAAGCAAGTCCTGAGCCCGTTCTGTAGTCATGTACATCTCTGCAGGAGTTGCATGAAGCAACCCAATGTCATTTTTCACTCATAATTATGATTCTAATATGAGAGCAACTAGTTCAGCCATGTTTTGTGAGAGCAGGAGAGTGCTGTTGGCCTGTATTGCTTGCTGAATTACGCATTTTGAGCATAACAAACAGCCTCAGAGAGCTACTTTAATGTGCTCAGATGCTCTTTAATAAGCCAGATTTTGAATTTGTGTATTGCTGTCACCAAAGCATCCGTCTCTTCCAGGTTTACAAATGTTTGCCTTGTGGTAGCACATGTAAGCTTAATAATTCCTTGTACACTGAGTGAAAGCTACCTTGGGAATTTAAAAACTGTCCATGTGTAATGCCTTCATGAGCAGCTGCACACTGTGTAGTCATTCATCCAACAAGTTAAGAACTGGTTCTGGGCTCCCAGGCCTGTGGACCAGAAACCTTACCTCACCGTGAACATGTTAGTCCTCCAGGAAGTAAGGTGTGTGTATAGAACCATAATGCCACATTTTCACAACTGACGCTTTGTCTCAGTTACCAATTACTGGCTTACAGCAGTACACCAGTAAACACTACAGACAATGTAATGTCTTCTTCAGGCAGCAGCACCTCAATTATTTAACGTCAGCCGAGTTGACAGCAGTGTGGACAATAACCTATTTGGGCTGTTTGTTTGGATGCATTGCATTGCTTCCAACTAATCCTGTCATCCCTGTCTATACTGTAGACGTGGTTTCCCGTATCTTAGAGGATTGGGGCCCAGCCAACATCTGTTGCTGTGCTTATGCTGCAGGGCCTTTCTGCTCCAGCCAGTGTGTCTGTCTGTGAATGTGACGTCCATAATGGCCTCCACCAGGGTGTGGGTGCTGCTAGTTTCTGCAATAAACCTTGATGCCAGTCCCCCCGTTTTTTTAATGTGTATACTAGCTGCTGAATGAATTGGCTGTATTAGGTTAGGCATGTTACATTGAGCAGGGGGTTGTTCTGTGTTAAGAAACGAGTGGGCACCATTTCTTGTTTCTGAGGCAACAATAATGCTCATCAGGAAATCTCAGATCTTACATAATGGCTCGTAGACAAAACGATGACAATGTTTGAAATTTTGTAATCTGATCAGCTCCAAAACATTCACCAGGTTTTGCAGATTTTTATCTGTCAGGTAATAAAACCACAGCGAGAAGATCCAGAGTACATGTTGCCCGTGTGATCTTTATGCAGTAGGACATTTAAAATGCCTGTCTGCCTGCTGCTCGGGAATTAGGGTGACTAGGTTGGCTGGGACTACAGCGTGCCTTTCATGCTTATAGCTCAGCATTACTCTGCAGTCTGAGTGGCTTAGCTATGTTTTTCCTCCTTTTCATTGCTCTGTGCATGTGTATTCACGTATGTATGCGAGTGCCTGTATAGGTTTCTGTCCTGCTTAACACATCTGGACGTGTTTAGCTCGACCCAAGTTCCTCAACACGAACCCACAGGCGTTACATAACCCCCCTCTTTTATGTAATGACTGCTGCAGCTCTCTGGCTGAATTTGCCCTCTCTAGTTTTTCCTGCCCCACACCCTGTCCTGTCGGCCTGCCTCATTCACAATCCCAGCTCCCGAGCAGTTTCTTCCTGTTAAAAGATGAGTTTAAACAGCTGTCCTGTGAAACTCCAGCCAGCTATCCCGACACGTCAGAATGAAACCGTAAAATAACAGCATTTTCAGTCCCTAAATGTTTCAATGTTGGGACAATTTTCAGCTCTTTAAATGTGTTTGAAAATCCTTGACTCTAGAGAACAAAGGAACTCAAATGACAGCTGCTGCTTTGATTTCTCTTGCTCTTGTTACAGACCATGAATGATGACTGACTGGTTTGTGAGGCGTAATTGCAAAGTGGTTTTATTTCGCTTTATATGGAACAGCGGAGTGTCTGCAGGTCTTTGTTTTGCTGTACCTCTATTCATTACCATGTTCCTCTGGGAGATTTTTGTACAAGGAGGCCTTGTTTTAACAGTATGAGCAGTGGCATGATAGCAGTCAAATTATGAAATTATTAGTTGTGTATTGTTTGATAGGGGATTGTCAAGTGTTTTTTGTTTGTTTGGAGTTCATATCGGGCAAGTTTTCCCTCTTCTGTGCAGCTAAGCGTCCAACCTGTAATGTTTAGTAATTAGTAATGTTTGAAAGTTCAATAACTGCATTTAGTAAATATAGTTGGCATTGCACCATTGCTTTAACTGCCTCATATAACCCTGCATTTGTAAGATCTCCAGAGAAGTTTTGGAGGGTGCAGCTTTTAACTTGTTGTGGCAGGAAAGTTTTCGAGAGCTAGCTTGAAAGGTTTGGAGACCCTTACCCCTGTCTTCATTGCCAGCCTCAGCCAATTAGGGACTTTCAAATCAAACAGCAGCCTTCTACAGTTGTGACACATCTGCAAAACTTAAGCGTAACAGGGAAATTACTGTTCGACCATGTCGGAAATCAGACGTGTTTATAGTCGTTCCAGGCGACCACACAGGAAGGCGGAGTAAAAAACAAGCCAGGGGTTTACGAGCGTTGATATTGTTCAAAAGCTGGAATAGGTGCACATTGTCAAACATGCTCTCCATGGTCGCATTGATAGCGTTGCATTTAGTCGTACACATGAAAGCTAGCTAAGTAGATAAGCACAGTGCCCGTCTCCTCGCTCACCTTCATACAGCTGGCCAATAATTGTGGCACCAAGTGGGTGCAGATGTCTGCTGGTCGGTTACGGAAAGTTCTAGATAATGGCAGACACCCTGTATCCGATGTCTGATAGGTGTGGGGGGAGGAGGGGGTTTCCCGTCACTATCCGATCATCTCGCATGCAGTTTGGACACACCGTAAATCCAGCTAGAGTGAGGAGAAAGTACAGATCTCAGCTGCGCTTTGAGCTGCAACTCAAAACTGTAGTTTTTGTTCATTTAAGTGTCACAGAAAGCAGCTGATCACAGGTGATTTTCACAGATTGAGGTGCATGCCACTTGGAATTGCTGCATATTCTGTTATATGTAGAGTCAGATCAGTTCACTGGATTTATGTATTCTGTGATGTATTTTTGTGTGTTCTTGCTGTTTTCTCACGCAATGTTTTTGGCTTTGTTGCCCATTCAGAAAGCCATTATACTCTGGCATTGTTTTACGCAGTTATAACTGGTTTTCAAATAGAGTCTTAAGCGTATTGTAAAAGATTGCTATGATGGTTGGATCATTAGAGCAGAGAATGTGCATCATATGACTACACAGTGTTGAAATATGTTGCATGCTTGCACTTCTTGCAGGATTTCTCCTGGTTCAGAATGGGCCTTCTGGGAGTGACTATGCAGAACAGTGAAAACAATGAGCCTGTTACCTTATTTGACAGAAGTCTGTGCGTTTTTCTGTTACGTCTCACCATTTTATGAACAGACATATCTATTATGCTCGAGTAAATAGTATCCCAATTAACAAAACTGGTAAAAAAAAAAAAAAAAAAGTGTTTATGTTTCCATTCTGAAGTCTTATCACTTTGCTGCTCATCGTTTTCCTTTGGGGATGGCTGAACCCACTTTGGGAGGTGCCAAAAATTACCTTGTGCTGGAAAACCCCCTCAAGTCAGTAGATTCTGATAGAACTCCAGCATTAGTTTGCACGATTTCTGTGTTACAGTTTAATGTGTAAAACAGAATCCCTTTCACACAGGGGAATTTGATGTATACACTATAATAAACATGCGCTCATAGTGTTGTGATTAAATGATGAACAGAAAAATGGCAGAGAAGATACTGTTAAGCGTACATGATAATCACACAGCCAAACAGAAAGTTAATCCACCAGCAAATTGTGTGTCCACATGGAGAGGAAGCACACCCCCTCCCTCTGGTATTAACACACTATGGAGTGTGGAGAGAGAGATGATTAAACTAGTGCCGATTTAACCAGATGACTGACCGAGTAGTACATAACATTTAAGAGAAGTGGTCGTCTTAGGATGAACGAGCATCCTGTGTGTCTGCACATAGATGACCAGCGGAGGGGAATATCAGGTGCATCAGGGCGCTGCAGGTTTTTGGCGGCGAGCTGAGCCACGTTTTTGGGCGGTTAGGGTCAGTATGGTATAGCGGTGCCCAGCAACGTGCAACATATGTGCAGCATCCAGAGAAGCACCACAATGGAGAATGTGCTGACAGCCAGAAAACGGCTGCTGTAGTGATTGCCACTGGTGCTTTGTGTGTGGGAGAAGGGGGAGGAAAATGTGTCCTGGTTAGAAAGGGGGTGGAGATTCTCATGTCGGGAGGGGGTGTTTTCTCAATGCCGCTAACCAGCCCCTCCTCTGTCACTCTGATGATTGAGGTCATTGGACTTCTAATGGCCTCTGTGTGTTTGTATTTTACTAAACTGCAGTTTTAGCCCTTCCTTCATCTCGTTCACTGGTTGTCCATTAGACCCGGAGAACTGCTGAGTTTGTGCTGGCAGGAGTCACTCTTATGAGATGGATTGGAGATGGGATCTACTGAGCCGTACGCCGCTTCAGTCTTTGTCACGTCTGAGTCGCTTCTTTGTGACTTTTGAGGACTGCCTTGCTTGCCTCTGTAAGCTGGCCAAGACATGTCTAGTCTTGCCTCACTGGTTTGATTGTTTTTATAGAACACATCTCTGCCACTGAGAAAATGAACCTCCTTGAGATCGTTTACCAGTTCACCCTCAGGGAAGTTACACCTGCCTATCCTCCCGTTGGTGGATCGGTTGTCCACCGACCACATGGCACACAAGCCCCGGAGCAATTTGCGAAGTGGTTGGCGAAACACAGTTTTGCGCCACCGGTGTCGTTTTGAGATGAGCCTCCACAGGGACCCATGGAGGCATTGATCTGATGCACCAGGCATGGGCGTGTACAGGAGTGTTGCAGTGTTTGTGAACATCCACCACCCGGTGTGTAGGAACAGCATACGTTTGTTTATCTGCGCAGAACAGGATCAAGTCTGTAGAAGAGGAAATGCGACTAGCAGGAAGCGCTGCAGCTGTATTTGCAGCCGCGTCCTTGGTTCTGTTTCGGAGCGAGCACGGTGTCAATGGGCAGATGTGGCAGCTCAGTAAAGGAAGGAGTCATGTTTGATTGCGCTGATTGGTGGCTGATGTCTGCGTCAAGCCACAAGAACTCTCCTTCCGCTCAGCTCCACAGTAAGACAGGATTCCTGGTTGGATTATTGGTTATCCCAGTGTCTGCTGCACTGTTCCCTGACCCAGCCCCACCCCCTCCAGCACCCTCTGGCCTGTACATTGCTTATAAAGCCCGTCTGTTCCTCTCCAGACTGCCAGAGCTTCCCAGCCCTTGTTGCACCCGTTTTACTCCCCTCTTCCTTCCCTTCCCATCCCCTCTCCCTCTCTCAGCAGTGGCCCTCCTCGACTTCCTCCATCCTGGTGGAGCTCTGAAAATTGAAAACAGAGATGGGGTGTGTGGAGGAGAACGCACAGAGGAGTGCAACGTCTATCTTTGTCTGCCATCTGAGTCATTATTTTCATTGTTCAGTCACTGCGGCCCGTATGTTGATGAAACTGCGCCCTCTGTGGTTGCTGCCGCACAGTGCAGGAGCAGACATTTTCCTCTCATGTCTGCCTTTGAAATGCCCATTCTGTGTGTCATACTGGTAAAATGGAGTACTCTGCTCTCTGTTGGCACTCATTCTTTGCCATGGAATATATCAGTGTAATGGAAATCCCCATTTTTCACTGCATCCACATTTAAAATGCACGCCTAATCATATTATTTTTTGACTATAATGCTTTTCCAGGCTGCCTGCAGCTGCCATTGCTGGGAGCTTTCTATAATGCTGATTCACTGACCTCTGCAGTCTAACAGGGGAAATGCTCTATATGATGAGCTTTAATGTTTTAGTAGTATTTCAGCGTAACACGTGAACAGAAATGCTTTCTGTTTGGGAAAACAGTCAGTTTAAAAATATAGAAATCATTACATCAGTAGGATTTTTGTGGGATTATTTCACCCATAATCTCACCTTTAAAACAATCCCTCACACCGTCTTTTTTACCCCCCCAGATGGAAGCGGGCAGAGAGCCGCTACACCGTGGAGAGAGCTGCTATAATCAGCCACTGGAACTGGCTCCAGGCCCACATCTCGGACCTGGAGTACCGCATCCGACAGCAGACCGACATCTACAGACAGATCCGCGCCAGCAAGGTCAGTCACTCCCATTTGTAAGAAACGTCTCTGCCGTTTATGCGAAGAAAAAGACATTAAGCTCTTGTTTCGGCGGTCATGAAAATCAAGAAAGATGCCTTTAAGTGTTTCCACTGAGGCTGTGTGGTGACGAAGAAGCCACCGCTGCTTCTGTGACCAAGTCTTGTTTCTCCGTAATGCAATTTCACTGGCGCTTTGGGTTTGAGACAGAAGCATAACGCTCATTTCTTGATTTGATAGGGCTCCGTAGAGTTGGGAGGTGTTGCCCCCAGTGCTGTGCTCGCAGGTGGGACAGAGGTGAAGACAGAGCCTGTAAATACTCAGGTAAGCCAAGCAGAGTGTTTCTGTCTCTTGGTGCTTGAAATGTAGACCAAAATATGTTTAACCTTGCGCTTACGTCTGGCTCTGGTGTACTGTATCTCACCGAGCAATCCCAGTCAGTGAGCCTCAGCAGGATCTCATGGATTCTTTTGTGATAATTAGGAACAAAAATGCCTCAGTTTGCCTGTCTCTATCTAGTGATACATTGCAGTGATGATTAAAAATTGCAAGGCCGTCCGGGGAAAGGATGCCCTTGCTTAAGTAACTAACAAATTACAGCAAGAATGAGCCTCCAGAAACGTTCAGCTGTAATTTAGGTTCGCAACAGAAAGCGGCAGTAGATTAAATCTTGACGCTTCAGACATTCTCATAAAAGAGCATGTCATTCAATTCGCCCGTTCAAGTCAACCAAGCCTTTAAATGTGTAAAAATAAAAACGATTACACGAGAGAAATCAGTTTCTAAACGTAGGACATTTTGCAGTTAATATTTGATTTCAATATATTGGGATATTACGTTGGTAGGTAAGATGTTGTCTGACTCTCCCGTTGGTGTTCGTTCCTGATAATCAGAGAAACGTTCAGCTTGTTTGTTCTTGCGAATCAAAGCAAAGGTGGAAATGAAATGTTAAGTGTCCACAGGAAATTGTTTCTTTTTATCTGTCCCACAGGTCTGAATGAATGAGATAAAAAAGGAGCTGTGTAATAAGCTCCTTCAACTTTCATATCAAAATAATTGCCAAATAATTTATCACACGACGAATCTGTCGCTTTGGATTTGTTTGAATTATCGTACAACTGCAACTGTGTGGCCTCTAATCACGGTGGTTTACGTTGGGGGCAACTGCATTGTGATGAGTTATACAGTCAGCTCTCTCTTTAACCTTGTTAAATGATACGGTTTGGTGTCTTTGCTGAGAATTATCTGCTTTCTGTGTTAGACTGCTGAATTAAAGTGACAGAGAAGCGTGGAACCGTGCAAGCGTAGAATTAGTGAAATGAACTGAAGGCTTAAGTTTAAATGAAAACCGCAAAAACCAAGTTCATTTGTGTGTGAAAACCTTGTGAGGAAGAAGCGCCAAGCCATGCATCTTGATGACAGCGCAGGTTTTAAAAGCGTTGGAAGAGCCCAGCCCTTTTCACAAATCTAGACTGAATAATTCAAGGCCACAGGACCGGGATGATTCAGTTTGTCTATTATGTAGTTTCCTTAAATATCCTGTGCTGGCTAAGTGCTGTTGGTGCTGTGTTCGTGTGCCAGTTAGCACGAGGTGTCGTCTCACTGTTTTTTGTTTTTTTTTTTTGTCTTATCTGTCGATGCAGGATGTTGGTTCAGAACGGCTGGAGCACACAGGCACCGCCCACATCGCCAACACAGAGCCGGGCCCTTGGAAAGGTCAAAACGGGCAGCCAGTTAACGGCGTCCTCAGCAGGTACAGGCTGGCAATGATTACCTCATTTCAAGTTCCCAGAAAGGCAGCCGAGTCTCTGATAAACACAACAAGGGAGTTCTTGATAATGATGGATTTTTTGGGGAGTTTTACTGTTGAGTGACGCTGATGTTACTCAGAGCTGCAATGATTAGTCGCCTGACAGAGAAGTAAGACCCTTTTATCAGCAGACGTTTGGGTTCATCGTGGCTGGAAAGGCACGGGTGCAATTGATAACATTGACTTGATTTCATTGAGGTGAGCAGGTGTTTTTTTGTATTGTGCAGCCTGGATCACTGTTGTCTTACTGGGACACCACATGGAACTGAGTTAATGAAATCTGACTGTCTCAATGTCCACAATGAACACCTGTAAGCAAAATACAACTTATTTACTCAAATGTGAGGATTTAACATGTACAAAAAATCTTTAGGGCTGACCAGCATATTTCACATCACAGGTGGAATGATTAACACTCTGATCCCTTTAGCAGTGTCTGGATGAGGGTTGGTTTTTTTTGCTCATGTCACATTTTTGCTCGCTGTGGGCTCATTTTTCACTCCAACATAAATCCGTGCACCTCTGTGAAAACAGCAGAACCATCATTAAAAGTACAGAGAACTCAAAAATGTCTTCTGTGCAGTGTAGTTGAATAAGTTCTAGCACAATTAATAAAATAGAAAACAATTGTGTTTTTTCTTAATCTTACAAAAATAAAAATTAAAAAAAATCTCTGAATTCATATGAACAATGTTTTTCCGTTACATTTGTTCCTAATACTGTAAAGAAATGGTGTCTCTACATGGTATAGATATTTTTACAACCTTTTTACATGCTCTACTAATTAGGCGGTTCTTTTTTTTATAAACCATTCTCCACATCTACTCTAGAAAAATGCTTCACTGTGCTGAATTTATTTTCAACTTAAAATATGTTTTTTTTTTCATTTTGCTCTCAATCTGCCTAATTTATTCCGATACTTGCTTCCCCTCTGCTCTGTGTAAACACAGCCTGGAGCTGTCCTGGGTTTTTGCCGTGTTACAGTCATGGCCTCTTGGTTTTTGATCATAGAATCTGGTGCAAACTGTAAAAATGTTGGTAATTCTTTTAAACAAAGCAATTTACCAGAAATATCACGATTTCTAACTTGTGATTACAGAACCGCCAGTCAAACAAGTAGATGAAGGATTGTGGGAAAGCTGAAAATCAAACAATTTGTTCAGTTTTTACAGTTTGAGGCTCTGATAAATGGTTTTATTTCGACTTTGTTTTTTTAAATCTTCCTAGAAAACGTGCCTTTCACACCTACTGCCAGTTTTGGGGGTTCAGACGATTAATGTAGAGACTGATTGATATTTTCTTGTAATGATTGTTAGTTGCTTTTTATGAGGATTTTGCCATTAAATAACCCAAACATTAGCATTCTGCTCGACCATCGGTTCATGAAGCATCTCTGACTTTCCTCCTCCTCAGTGTTTATCTTATCCACAAAGCAATAACTTGATATTTTCCAAAATCTTGCGTCTCTGTTACACTGGAGGCTGTGAATTTGTGGCTCACTCGCTGCTGTGTTGTCGTGTTTGTGGCAGGATGGCGGAGAGTGCAGACACCAAGCACCAGCAGCCGTTGGCCTACGACAGCACATGCGTGGCCGCTCGCACGCGACCGCTCGTCAGCTGCCGACGACGGCGGCTCATCCAGCCCAACACTGTGCCCAACCTGAACGGCAAGGTGAGCAGTCACGTGGACGCTTTGACCTCAGGCGAACCTCGAGGTCATGCTTGTGCAAAAAGCGGTTTGATGGTGAGGTCTCGGTGGAAGTGGTGTGAAGATGTTCCAACGCGTGTTTCCACATTTAGAAGCAATGAATATGACTTTTATTCTTAGATGACCTCTTGCGTGCTTTAGGCTGAATTTAATAATTAATTTCTTAGTTTGTAACCTAATAACTGAATAAACAAGAGATGGCTGCCTTATTTATGTATAAGTAGGGCATCTTCGAAGTCAAAGAACAAGGAGGAGTAGTCGCCCTTGTGACGACTCACAAGTTTCAGTTGAGGAAAATAGAAACATGGGCTGATTGTTCGTGCTTTCCCCCCAAAACAGTAAGACAGAGTGTGACTTTTACTTGTGTAAATGTGCTATTATGAGGCTTTAAAGTCTGTTTAAAACATGTGTTCTGAGGCCAAATCTGTAAATAGTGACAAAACAAGCACTATTTTCTGCTCTGAAGCTCTGAGGTTGGTCTTGAAGCTTCACATCAGCCCAAATAAATCAAGAAACGTTAGATTTTAAATAATAAACACACACTATAGTATCTTTGTCACTCTGCAGCTAAGTTATCCGCTGCAGTAAACCAATCACACAAGGCAGGTTACGCTGGTGGGCGTATTCTGTCGGCGATGACGCCAGATGTCGGCGGGATGGGAGGAAGGTTGCTTTGGCCTCATTCACCAGTAACAGATTATCCGTAAATCCCAGTCGTCTCTGAAATTTATATAACTACCCAGTGTGAAATGGTCACTGCAGAAGCGCCTTTTCTTCATCTCATCCTTCTTAGGATTTGGGGAAAATATCTAACGCCAATTTTCCTAACTTATAGTGGCATTTTATTTGCAGTTGTGTTTATTTTTTTTTGTGGAGTTTTAGCTCAGCGTTCATTGTGTAATTTTTAAAAACATGCAATACAGTATAAGCAGATGAGGCACCTTTTACATGCATGTCTGTCACACACTGAGGATGGCATTAGTTTGTAAAATCAGGTTAAAGTCGTGCTGCAGAATGCATGAGGTGTAGCTATTAAACCATCAGACTGGGCTTTTTGTCTGAACTACATCAACAGACATCATGAACAACCTCTAAAGGTTTCAACCTCCTCAAATTAAATAAAACCACACACAGCTTCACCCTGTTTAGTCTAAATACGAGCCGATTGGCTACTCTCAGGGTTTCGATTTGAATTGGATTCATTGTTCAGCTGAAGGTGCAGTAAAGCTTCCCCGATGCTAACGCGCTCTAGTTTTTAAAATGTTAGCGTTTTAGGGGAAGAGGGTTGTGCTAGATATGAGTCTGTTATGACCCACTCAAAACATTGTCAACACAAAAATGTTTTAAACAACAGATCAACAACATAACACAACTGTGCGCAATATAGGTCAAAGTCCATTCACGTGTTTTCGGCGGTTTACTTTCTGACTTGTAATCGTATTTAGGAGAATTCTGAAATGTCTTCACAGACACAAACGTTAAAATGTTGATTGAGGAGCTTAGACTTTTTTTTAAAATGCAATGATCTTTTAGTGTTTTTCTTAGCATTTATATACAGTTCTTATTAGACCACCTGTCTCATTTTTGAAGCATTGTGTGCATTGTGTATATATCCAGCATCATGAAGCGCTTTCCTTCGCTCTCAGCTCTCCCTGTTTTACCATCTTGAACAGGAATGAGGAATTTTAAACTAAATTCTCCTTTTTGTACCCAAATTTGAAGCTTCTCTGGGAAGTCACAAACTAAACAAGCATAACATTCAACCACTAAAACTAATTCTTTCTGTTCAGGAATGCAAGTAAATAACTGTAATTTGACTTCTTAATCATGACATAATTATGTGCTTTACTGTTTGTAAAACAATAAATTAAAAAATTTATGGATATCAATAGTAATTATATTTTAGCATTACAAACATCCTTTGGGTTAAAGAGCTTCTACATACTGGTGTATTAACCATGACAGAAAAATAGAACATTATGTTGGTTATTACTGTGACATAAACCTTACATTGGGTGGTGGTCTGATAAGTTTGTTCAACACTCTACATATAAAGTCACACACAGTCTGTTCTGCTGTTGATTTAATTAAAATTTGCGTTAAAAAATCATTCTGCCTTTTAGTAGCAAGCAGAACTAATATTAGAGGCATTTCTGAAAAGATACAGGTACTGAAAATGACGCCAGAGGCTTCAGAGAACAAAACGTTTTCTGGCATGACTCACTGAACTCCTGCCGTGTGTTCAATTGCAGAACATTTCTAAAAGCAACTTGTTCTCCGCTGATGAATAAGTATTTAACAGTTGTGCCGGTGCAGAAATTTAATTGTGAATGTTCACAGTTTGGCTCTCAATGATTCGCCGCCCTTCGTTTGTCCACTCTCAGGCCCAGAGGAGCAGCTGCCTCCAGTGTAGCTGCAGAGTCAACCCCAGCTGTGTGATGTGTGGTGGCTGGCCCACCCCCAGAGAGGACCCTCAGTACGAGCAGCCCACCCTGGAGCGCCTGTCAAGGCTGGATCTTGGCGTCCACCCCATCCTCTCCTTCCCTGACGGTCAGTGCTGGGCTCCTCGCTCAAAGGAGAACTCAAGTTTATGCAGCCATTTCCTACTTTACATCTAGAGGGGAAGACAAACAAGGAGTGGCCGTAGGGACAGTGCAGTGCAGGAAGTTCCTCGAGAACATTTTCAGCCGTTTAGACAATCTTTTCTATCTGTAATGTGCAGCGTAATTCCTCTGAATAAGTGTTGTTTTCTGAGGCTTTGCTCCCTGTTTTCATTACTGGTGTGCTTTTTATATTTCCTTGTGTAACACAGGATTCACTCGGATCAAGCCATCTGTGTAATTATCAAGGAATTTGTTTTGTTTTATCGCAAATACAAAACACGACCTGCACACATAATTGAGACAAATTGTATTTACCATTGCGAGACAACAGTACATTTAGTAGAAGCTCATATAGTCGATTGCTTGGGGCCCTTTACACATCGTGCATGCCGTTGTGAACTGCTCAACTGCAGATGGCAGATCAGAAAGAGTCCAGCTGGTGAAAAATCTCCTCATTTCATGCTTTTTTTTTCCCCCCTCTGCTGTGTTCGTGTCTCCCTCAGACGTTTGTATAGGTCTACGTCTGCAGCAGGTAATGAAGAGCCAGTGGCAGACCAAGTCGCTGGAGAGGAGCAAACCACTGAAGAAGCTCTCGCTCAAACACAAGCTGTCCTCGTCCAAAGAGAAGCACAAGTTCACCAACTCACTTATGGCAGTCAGTAAGTACGAGTGGATGTGAGGCACAGACTTCTTCCCTTCAGCAAAGTCACACCTGCAGAGTGACGCTTTCCACGTGGACAGCAAGGCCCTGAACCGATCTGCCTAATTATAGCTTCACCCTTGAAACGTAAATACAAGATGGTGGAATAGAGAAATATAAACTGTAGACAAAGTAAATATTTTTTTTTTTCTAACCGTCAGCTCCTTATTTTGACACAGTAAATCTGTAGCGCTGCAGCTTATTCCTATTTAATTCCAGCTGCTTTTACTTCACGCTGCACTTTCCTCTCAGTTTTATTTCATAATGCCGCCGGGAGAGACGGCTCCCAGAAGGCAATCTGCTTTAAGAGAAGCACAACAGATGAGATGTTACTGAGAATTAGTTGCTTAATTATTTAGGTGACAGAAATTTGGCAGCTGTCTTCGTAGTTGATCTGTTGCTGTCTTTCTTATTTTGTTTGTTTTTTAAAACTTAATCTTAAAAAAGCGGTCGTTTCACATTCATCATTTTACTAAATTGCAGTCACATACCTTAATGCACACTTACAGCCTTCCTTTTCCAGAGGTTTCCTTTTATAAAATGTGCTAAATTATTTACAGTTGAACAAGGGAAGCGCTCACCCTAGATATTTAAAGAATAATAGATAAATAAACAAAGGAAAAAGGAATAAAATGTGAGGTGTTGGATGCAGTAAAGAGACCACGGTGAAGTCTCACTTGGTTTTTCACATGAGCTAAAGTCTGACTTAAAAGATTTAAAGCACTCAGTTAAATTGTGTTTCTGGACTTTGAGGGAGAAAACAAATCTTTCCAGAACGTTTTTTTTAAATCTGTATCCACTCCTCAGTTGTTGATGTTTCTGATTTAAGAGGCTTTTTTTCTTCTTCGTGGTTTTGTTTAGAGATGTCCCCCGTGTACACAGTATCACATCTGAAAGGAATGTCAGCTCCAAGTACTTCCACTTTTTAATAATACGTTTATGAATTTCCTGCCAGAAGGGCACAGTAACCTGGCATCATTTCTCCCACACAGTCTCCAGCATCCACTCCCCCAATGAAAACCTTACAGTATGTTTTCAACAGAATTCTCAGAATTTTGTGAAACCAGTTGAGTTCCACTTTGCTTAACATTTTCTCCTCCCTGATTTAAAAACAAAAAAAACGTTCCTCCTTTTTCCACTTCTCCGTTGTATATACAGTGTATTTTTAGCCTTGGACTGGACTCCTGTTGCATATTGTGGATTTAGATTCTGACAAAGTTATCTTCATGGCTCCTGTTTGTGAAGCCAGGTTCTGGTTAAAAATAAAGTTTGAAGGTGTCTTTAGTAATTCTTGTGTTTTTTTATGTAAGAATTCAAAGCTTTGGAATGAAACACTGAATATTTACTGATTCCTGTGAGGATTTCTTGTCACATGTGATAGCAAGCTGAAAGAGGCATACATGCGTTTTATAATCTGAATTTGTGGGCCTGCAGTCGCCCCTTTTTGAATTTATTTAACCCCGTCCTCCCTGGTGTTGCAGGACTGGGCCACTATAAGAACCGCGCTGAGAAGCCGAGGACAGTGGACAGCAGCGTGGGCAGCAGCAGCAGCGGCGGTGGTGGTGGCGGCGGCGTTGGCGGCAGCAGTGCAGTGCTGAACACCGCCAGGCTCGAAGGCCAGGCGGTGTGTAAGACGGAGCGGCTGCAGACCCTCTCCTCGCCTCTAGGGCCCTACGACAAGAACTACAGCCGCAAGAGATTAAGAGAGCACTCGCTGGACAGGGCTGACTGTGAGTCTTCTCTAATAAACACCAATGAGTTATGTTCCTGCAGTGGAAATATCACAAGGTCCTTTTACTGGGATTACACCGAAGCTTCCTGGTAGAACAGTTGTCTAAATCAGCCCCTTTTCTCACCCTCCAGCCTCCCCGAAACTGTTCCTGGACTCGAGCAGCTCCTGCCCGACTCTGGCCAACATGCACTCGTCCCTTCACAGCCCCCTGACTCGCCAGCTGTCCACGTCCTCAGAGAACTCCACGCCGCTGGGCGCCAGCAGCCAGAGCGTCCCCAGCACACCTGTAAGCTCCCCACGATTCACCGCTCACCGGGTTATCAACGTGTTGTGATGCAAGCTTTATGATCTGTTTCACAAACGCTCTCACAGTTACCCTCGTGCACATCTTGTTTATAAATGCTTCTTCTGTGTTACACTTCATCTTTATCTTCTGTGATCTGATGTGATCACACACACGTTTTCATTACAAAGCTGCAGTTATGTCTTTAACTGTAGAAGTCTGGTGTGGTCACATGATTGCGTTAAAGGCACGAAAACAGGAGCATTATGGGTAAAGTGTCAGCCTTGATGTTACAGCTGAACAGTTTGTCCATTTTTATTAGAAATCCCAATTTGAAAACAATGCAGTTAGACAATCTAAAGTTGGCTTTTTAAGGAGATACGTGTGAACTGTCACGTCAGTGGTTTGTCCTCGTCTGACAGTCGCACGTTTTTGATCTCACGGTGTCTTAAATCGTTACACAGTGAACACTGAACTAAAACATTGTATTCCAAATCAAATCACAATTAGATATTTCCCCTCAAATCCTTCTGCCCTACTTTACACATCTGTTGTAGGAGATCAGCGTTTTGCAGCTGCTCTGTTGTAAAGGAGGCATTAAAATCATTAGGAACGAGTCGTTTAACGCTACAAAAATTCACAATTTAAGTACAGCCGAGACAACAAACAAGAAAAAGCATAGATTAACATCTGTTTTTCATTAGTTAAAAAAACCAAAACAAAAAATTAAAAGCATCCAGTTGGCTGTTGCTCACCATGTAGCAGTTCAGTCTGCAGATTGTGAGTAGCGCTGAGCTGTAGAGTTTCAAATAGAAGATAAATACAATAATAAATGAGCTCCAACATACTTCATTAATTTAAATGTTTGGGCTTTAGAGCGACTCACAGTAACTCCACCTTTCTGTCATCACTGAGGACGCAGCAGCCATCTTGTTCGAACCGTATTGAATTGTGAGCCTCAGCAGGACTCCACATGGTGGGCGGCTAATTGACCCGTACAATGTGAGCAGAGACGTTTCAGGTTGTGGAAAACATGTAGCGCACACACATCAGCCTCTATGAAATCTGACTGTAAATCACGCAGACGCGGCCCCTTTGAATTACGCACAGATACACATAATATGATCGTTAAAACAATCAGTGCATGTGGTGGAAGTTGAGTCAAGCAGCCGTGATGGTTATTGTTGTGTTATTGTGTAATTGAACACGTTGCTTTACATCAAACACACTGATGTCTCTGACTGAGCGGTGTGTAGGCTTGTTTCCTGACGACACAGTTTAAAGTTTGATTTTGTCAATTTTTCCTGAGATGAAGTTTTCTGTTCGATTTTCTCTGGATGTTTTTCAGAAGTTGTTGACATGCTAATGTGAGTCAACACGTCATACAAGAGTCATAAATAATCCCACAGGAGCCGTTCCAATACCCATAAACCCGTATTGTTTAGTGTCCCCAGTACACGGTGTAGTATACACAAAATACCCAGATTTGTGTACTACATCTGCTCTGATTTTGCAGTTTTGCTTTCCTGGACTTCCTGCTCGGTTACATCACCGTTACATCACATACGTCACATGTGCAAAATGTAAACAAGTTTAATTAGCCGATAGCACACAGACACATGACAGCTCACTTCACACTACAGACCGCGTTGGTCAAAGTTTAACACACGTCGTTATGATGAAGTAGTCGTCCTACATGTGTACATGCGGCGTGAAGCAGTACGTTGGTGGCGAGGCAGCAGGATGTAGTAAAAAGAGAAAGCGTGTGATTTTGAACGCAGCCACAGTGTTTGCAGCTCCACAGGCTAACCCTGCTAGCGCGCTACAGCTGACGGACAACAAGCGACGCTCAGCCAACAACGTTCTGGGTGTTTTGTTTTGTTTTTTTTCTCGACTGATTTAAACAGACTCCTGGCAGCAATTGTTCACATCGCAGAACGTCTCATCGCCGACAAAACTACTGTAAATGTCACCAAACGTGCAGCTGAGTTTCAGTCACGGCCGGCGCGTTTGATGGTGAGAACACGAGCGACAAGGTGACAATCAGAAACCGAAACTTCATTTGTTTGCGGTTTCTGAAGCAGAAGTGGCAGGAAACAAACACCGACTCCAGCAGCTGATGTGAACGTTGACTGCAGCGCTCCCTCGCTCTGTTTACCTTTTATGCAAACTGGGCCCGAGGCGTCGGTGTTTCAATGGAGCCTGCTCGTCTTTGTGACACTGAAGTGGACACGTTTATTTATTAAAGCACTCATCAGTTAGAGATTCACCGTGAAGCATCATGTGCAAATATTGAACACAACATCCTATTATTTTCTTTTAAAGTCGGCTCAGAATTTGACTTCATCTGATGTGATTAGCAGCTTTAGAAGTTGATGGTTCAGCTGCAACACGACCAGATTAACAAATAAACGATGGACGCTGGATTCTTCTCACCACACCTTCAATAAATATGTGCCTCTGTGAAGATTTCATGCTTAGAACGCTGCTGAAACTGTGTCATGCCGCTGCACAACGCTATGAGCTCACGCCGGAGGTGTTGTTTGCCGTTTGTTTACGCTCCTCTTTGTTCTCCAGCAGCAGCCAATCAAGAGGAGGCGAGGCGAGAGCTCCTTCGACATCAACAACATCGTGATCCCCATGTCTGTGGCCGCCACCACCAGAGTGGAGAAGCTGCAGTACAAGGAGATCCTCACACCCAGGTAGAACCGCCACAGCACCCCCTGCAGGCTCAGGGTCCCACCAGCAGCATGTTTGTCCCCTCAGAGCCTGTTATCGACTTCTCAAGCTGATCTCTTTTTTTTTTCCCCATTGTGTTGTTTTGCCCAGTTGGCGATCGGTGGACATCCTCTCACAGGCCATAACTGAAGAGGAGAACGAACGGGAGGTAAATGAAACGTCGTCTTTGACGTGTGCGCTGCGTTAAGCTGGTGTGTGGGTGCATTTAGTGCTTAATGTTTGTCAAACAGATGCAGAATATCATGTTTCAGTCCAGATACACGGCAGTGAGGGAACGCTGACACCTGGTGGCTGAAGTTCAAACTGCTCCACGGTTGTCTTTGTGTAGCCGTGCAGCTTGTTGACCTTTCAGATGGAAGTAGGGCAGCTGGAAATGATTTATACAAAGGATTTAAATGTTCAATTTCACTTTTGTCCATTAAATGTCAGAAAATATCTAAAAATAATAAAAATCTAAATAGATAAATTCAGATTGTTGATCGTCCAAAGATATTTATTTGACTGATTCTTAAGACAAAAAAAAAAAAAAACCCAAACAGTAAATTATCTAAGTTTTAAAAGGCATGGGCCTGCATTTATATTTAATTTAATTTACAAATATTTCTCTTCTAGTCACCACACAAACTGTAGTGTGAGTTATAAAGCGTTTTTGTAGATGGTTTATGCAGATATTTTAACAAGGCTTGTTATTTTTAAACAATCCAACCAGCAAATGATCACAGTTTTAAAAAGCAGAGCGTCTGTAGAGCTTCAGAATGTTTAAATTGGTAAAGATGTGAAACATGTCTTCTAATCTGTCGCAAGCCGTGATGTTTGAAACTGTTTTTTCAGGTGAATTATGCAGATATTTGGAACAAGGCCTATAAAACCAGCAAATGATCCGTTTTCAAAATCTGCAGAGCTTCAGAATTTTGCATTTAATTTATTTATTGAGATGGAAATATGTCTTCTGGCAGCCACAAGGTGTAATGTTAGATAAAAAATGTTTGTTTTTTTTAGGCGAAAACCCAGACAGTACCGCCCCACACCTCTGATGTTATATAAGGTTTACATGTGGACTAAATCTAATGATGCTGTAATTGGTTCACCTGGAATCTCTCAGTGGTTTTAGTGAAACAGACAGAAATGTCAATACATGAATGCAGCTGGTGAAAAACCTACAGCTTCAATTAAATGACTTCTGTGTGTAATACGTTCTTGATTAATAAATGAACAGAAGCATCAAAGCTGTGACCGTTAGGTTGTCAGAGCGTTGACAGCATGTTGTGTTTGTGCAGCTGGAGGATCTGTCGGACGCAGCCTTCATCCAGCTCCATCAGCCCTACGAGGACCAGGAGCGAGCTCGCTGGACCTGGATGGCTCTGGCTCCTGCTAAGAGGAGAGGCAGCAGGTCGGTACCAGAACCGGAACAGGACATCCTGCTGCTTGACGTCAGTCTGCAGACGACCTGACTCTTAAATCCGTCTCCCTCCAGGTCGTACAAGTCGGTGGACGGCCGGACCACGCCGCTGCTGTGCGGGACTAACCCCCCGACCCCCCAGCCGGCGTCCCCGGACCCCGGACACTGTCCCATGCTGCACGACTACAGCCACGTGCCGTCCCCCATGAGCCCGGCCAGCCCCGACACCGCCTCCAACCCCCACACGCCCTGCTCCAGGGACTCCCACCGGCTGCTGTCCAGCGAGGACACGCGCTGCTCGACGCCGGACTTCACCTTCGAAGAGCGAGTACGTAGCCGGATCCAGAAAAAGCTTTTAACTTCATTTATGCAGAATTATCAGCCCTTAGAACAACTGTTAGGGCCTTAAAATGTATCCCACTGAGATGTGGAGATACCGCAGATGAGATTTAAGCTTCGTTTTCCTGTTTAAAGTCTTTGTAATGAATACGAGCGATCCTGGCTGCTGACAAGATGATAGCTGTTGTTCTTTCTGGTGGTTTTTATGAGACGTTACTGACTCCAGCGGGATCATGTTTGCTAGCTCCACCAAAGTCTGCAGAATTATCTTCTTCTCTACTGAGCATTAAACCAAAAAGACACGCTGAGTTTCTGCTGTTTTGTTGAGTTTAGTTTGCTGTAACTTCAGACGTAGCAGCTAACTAACTAAAACGTAGTGTCAGCGTCAGCAGTGAAAATGTTTTGTAAATGTTTGGTCTTAAATGTAGCTGCAGAGCCTTGAACTCTGTAGATGATGTTTGCTTCATGAGTGATTTCAGTCTGAATACTTCTGTAGTTCCAGTTAAATGGTTGTTCTGTAGGTTTAGTTCAGCCTGAAGTCCAGCTCTCTCCCTGAGTGTGTCTCCATGTATGACAGGATCCTGGTCCGGTGTAACCATCTGACTCTGGTTTCAGAATCCCAGATAGTGTTGCATGTAAACACCTGATTCGGGTTTCTGAGCCTCTGCTGGTAAAGGTCCTGGTGGCGACACGGTGGTACAGAAACACGAGGTTTCTCATGTTCCATGTAGGCGTTCTGAATGTGATCGGAACCAGGATGGTACCGTTCATGTAGACATTCTGGACACTGGAGGCACAACAGTTAATTCTGGACAGACAGAAGCTGTATTTCATGAGTGTGTGAAGTAGAATTGTTCGTGTGAGGTCATCTTGAGGCGGTTTTGGTCCAGAGAGCTACGACGGCAGACGTCTTCGTCTTCACTGGTTCAGTCTTTTTTTGATCTGCAGCTGATTATTTAAACAATCAGAATGAGAGGAGGAGGAGGTGAACGGGAGAGCTCCTGACATGATGATGTGGGTTTTCAGGACCCATTAATCAAATGGATTGCTGATTCAGAATCGATAAACGAAGTAGCATGTGACAGCAGGGATCACTTCTTTATGAATGAGTAAATATTGACTGGTTACTATCGATGGATATGTAGCGGTGATGGTGATGCTCTCCTACATTTAACGTGAGCTCAATAGCAGCTTGTCTTAACAAATCATCTGCCTCCAAATGTAGCTGCTAGCATAACCAGGCACTGTAGCCGTAGCTGATTAGTCTTGGTTTGTTGTCATGGCTGCCGGTTAGTAGAGATTCCTAAAGTTAGTCTTACTTTAGACAGATGTTACGATGCTCCAGTTAGCATTAGCCTGACAGTGGACTTCCTAGTGACAGCCTTAGCTTAGCATCGTTGCCATGGACTGGTGAGTTATTGGGACTTTTTTGGTGTAACAGGAAAACGGGGCACGTTGGTGTCACATTGTGGAGCTTGTCTGAAGCTCAATAGCTTATCGTGTTGATGAATGAAATGAAATGAAAAATACTTTATTCATCCCAGAAGGGAAATTCAATATTGATGTTAATAATAATATAATATAATATAATATATATATATAATAATAATTGTTGATGAATTATTACCTTGTGAAGACCACACAGAGACAGAGGTGGCG